CTTCCCAGATGTCTGAACGTCACCCAGAAAGCTTTGTGACTATTCAAACAGCCTCCAATGGAAACTCCAGAGCTCTGCACTAGAACTTAAAGGTTCTGTGACTACAGCTTGACAGCTCTGACTCCTCTCCACACAGATTTTATTCTTTGAGAAAACCACATCAAATGCAGAACCCACACCATAGTGTCAACTGGGTGGGAGAATTTGTACCAGACAAAGCCAGAGCTGGGCTGTTCTGCAGGTTTTGCTGTGTGCGTGCACCCACCTGAACGACTAAAGCATAACAACAGGACACATCATCTCTACTGAGGCAAACTGTGGGTGCTTTTGGTGAAAGAAAAGAAAACCCATTCTGCTGTATTGAAATGTCAGGTTTGCCGACATCTTGAATAAACAGACCACTTCTTCCCCTCACTAGAGAGACTAGTTCCTGAGAGGCAATGAAGAATGATTCAGAGAAAGATGGCAGCATCATCCAAATTTCAAAAAGCTTCTGTGTAACCAACAACATTCCACATTGAAAACAAGTGATTAAAGACACATATGGCAATTATCTTCAAAAAGAGTAATACCAAAGAGAACAACACTTGCAAGACGTGTACACACAGTGTCTGGCAGGCTCTTCCCTGCTGCCTTACCTACACCCTGAATCCTTTTGCCTTTTCAGCAATCTCAGGTGGAAACACCACAGAGCTGCACATTAGGAGGTCTTAAGGATGCTGTGATTGGAGCTGTGACAGCTCGGGTCCTACTCTGCACAGAGTTCATTCTTCGAGAGAATCACACACCAAAGGCCAAAGCATAAGTGCACTTAACTATATAACTTGGTAGGAGAATTCGTAACGTAGAAAAAGAGGGTTGGGCTGCTCTGCAGGGTTTGCATGGATGTGCATGCAACCAAGTGAGTAAAGTAAGACAAGTGGACACAGCATCTGTACTGAGGCCGACTGTGCAAGTTGAAAGGTAGGGGAAGCCGAGTGCACAAAGATTACACCTATGTCCTCACATCGCCTTCAAATCTCTCCTGAGCAGGAGCATTTTCATTGCTCCTCTGACCATGGCAACATCCACAGCAGTGAAAGCTACTACAGATGCCCACCACTAGACAGGGACAGCAGACTGAAGTGCAACACACCCACTACACCTTTCCCAAAACAAAAGGGAAAAGGTGCATCACAGAGTATCCGCAGTCTGCATGTCACCCCATCTTACACATTTCCTACATCAGGCCATCAGCAGCACAAGGGACTGTCTCTGGAGGGAGATATTCAGAAACACAAAAGACATTGTGAGCATTTCAATATCATGTTCTATCTCAGCATTGGGAAGGCCTCCACATCCAGGCACTTGGGAGCCTAAATAAGATCATGGGCAAGAACACTCTGTGCCTATTCTGCCTCATGCTTTCCTCTGGGCATCCTCCATTCCCCACTCTGGGACGTGTTCTCAACACAAGCACATCATCTCCCATTCTTGTGTTATTTCCCATTTCCACACATGTCTTTTCCTCTGCTCAAGGTCACCTTGTGTATCACAAAACGCCCTGGCCCTGCTCCGTGTCACTCCCACGTTCACCTCTGGGACATGCCACAATTCCCTTTCCCACCTCAGTGCTCAATCTCACTTGTGCTTACCCTTCCCTTCAATGAGAGCACCCTAAGAAACATACAGGTGTATCCTATACATGGTGTCAGCAGACCCTCTGCTACTGACCTCTCCAGTTGAGCAACGCTTCAACTCTCTCAGCTGCAAATGTTACAGACCTGAGAACAACACTCTTTCCAGAGGTCACGTCAGGACCACTCTAATGGCAATGGACACTGATTTCATGCTCAGAGAGACACCAACCCACACGTTGACCATAACACCAATCCAGCAGATGATATCTACTGTGTAGCATGATTTGGTTGAGAGGGGGAGTTTGTGGTTGACAAGAGAATTTCCAACGAGTTTGTAAGAACAATGTGACTATTGAAATACTGAAAGAACATGAAAACAGGTCAGTGCACATCAAGCCAACAGTCCAGCCAGGAACACGAGTTCAGAAACCGGGTAGGGGAGAGGGAGAAGGAAAAGAAATGTCCCGTTTTCAAACACCTTGGGTCATACTCCCTTGTCTAGACATAACGTGTGCCTTATGACACTGACTACGGTCTTCCCAAGGATTTCCAGTTCCTTCACACAAATCTTCCCACTGCTCAAGGTCATCACCCTTCACACCACGAGGTGGCCAGGCCCTACTCCCACATTTACCTCCACAACACGACACAGCTTCATTTCCCATGTCAGGTCTTACTTCAGCTTTGCAGACCCTTCACAGCAATGAGAGTACCCTAAAAAACCATATGGATGGGATCATAGAGACTGGGTGCAGCAGACTCTCTACCCTTTCTAAAGGTGATATTGGAGCAGCTGTAAATGCCAATGGCTTTCATTTCATGCTCTGATAGAACAAACCAAACATTCTCAAGCACCGCAATGTAACTGATTATATTGATTCTGTGGGAGAATTCAGGTTTGGGTTTTGTTATCACAGGGTGGGTCGCTTGGTTCGTTGGTTGGTTAGTTGTTTGGGGGTTTTGTGGTAAAAGGAGGTTTTCTGGGTCTTTTGTCATGATGTAGCTGATGATACAGATATTGAAAGAACATCATAAAAGCTAGCGTACATCATACCATCTCTCAGGCCAGGATCACAAGTTCACAACTGTTCCCTTCAATGACAGCGCCAGAAAAAAATTAGAGGTGGTATCATATACACTGTGTTCAACAGCTCTCTGTAGTTGATGCACCTGGAAGCTACGTTCTACATCTGAAAGATCATACATCTATTTGTTGAGATGGTGTCAGGACACCTCTGATGGCAATGGGCATAGATTTCCTCTTGTGAGAGAACAACCAATAACACCAATCCTGCAGATGATATCTACTGTGTAGCATGATTTGGCAGAGAGGGGGGTTTGCGGTTGACAAGAGAATTTCCAAGGAGTTTGTATGGGTGATGTGACTATTGAAATATTGAAAGAACATGAAAACAGGTCAGTGCACATCAAGCCAACAGTCCAGCCAGGAACACGAGTTTAGGAACCAGGTAGGGGAGAGGGAGAAGGAAAAGAAATGTCCCGTTTTCAAACACCTTGGGTCATACTCCCTTGCCTAGGCACTTTGTAATACGAACTAGGGTTACAGCAGATTTGGAAAAAGAACACAGGAAAAGCCCACAACGACTTCCCAACGTTCATAACGACCCCGGTGGGTCAAACAAAATGGAGAAATTGCACCACAGGAAGAGAAAATCCCTGAGAAGTCACAATTGTCCAGAAGTCTATTACTGAGCAGAATGAAAGAAGAGGACGACAGAGAAAAAAAACCACAGGTAATACCAGCAAGGTCAGCAGTCAAAAGTCATACGGCAATAAAGAGTGCCTGGAACAACGTCATCACCACACACTGCGTGTCTTCAAACCGTAAGCAAGCTCCGGCCGGAATGCCACACCGAGCAAAGCCAGGGCGTCTGAAAGCTGACAGCTCGGCACCTCCCATGGCAATCGGCAGTGATTTTACTCTACAGAAACACAACTCACACCCACAGCAGCAACTCTCAGCTGTGGACCCTGCCTGCTGCGGGGTGGGTCAAACATTTATATCTTATCCCGCTAAGCAGGAGGCGGGGGACTTCGGCAAGGACACAAAGGCAGATGCAAAGGTGCCATTCACATCCTTAAGCACCCGACAAACACCCACCCACCCACCGCCCGACCCGCCCACGCAGCCCGACTCCCAACAGCGACTGCCCGGGGACACAAGGCACACGAGGGCGAGGAGGAGGGAGGAGGGGTCGGGGGAAGGGGCGAGAGGCGATAACGGGCGGGCACTGACCGTGTCCAGCAGAGCGGGCGGCTCCGGCTGCGTCTCCTTCGCCGCGGGGCCGGGCGGCGGCGGGAAGTTGGGGCTGAAAACCATCAGGTCGCTCTTGCCCGCGCCCTCCGCCACGCACAGGCTCCGGCTCTGGCGCTGCGAGTACGACCAGCTCCCCACTTCGCTGGCGCACACCAGCGTCGCCGGACCGGCCCCCGACAGCACGGCCGCCCGCGGCGCCCACCGCGACGCCCCGTACAGCACCACCGCCAGCAGGAACACGCTCGACACCGCGCAGATCGCCACCACCAGCCACACGTTCGTCGACGACGCTCCCGACGACGACCCAACGCCCTCCGACCCCGACCACGGACGCAGACCCGACGACGACGACGACGACGACGAAGAGCCCCCCGACGCCGCCGCCGCCGCCTCGCCGCCCTCCACCAGCGACACGCTCAGCGTGGCCGTGGCCGAGCGCGACGGCTCCCCGTGGTCCCGCACCACGATCACCAGCCTCTGACGCGGACCGTCCGCCTCCTCCAGCGCCCGCGACGTCGTCACCTCGCCGCTGTACAGACCCACGCGGAACGGGCCCTTCCCACGCGGCTCCCACAACTCGTACCGCAGCCACGCGTTGTAGCCCGAGTCCGCGTCCACCGCACGGATCTTCGCCACCACCTGACCCGCCGGCGCGCCCCACGACGCCCACGCCCACAGCGACCCCGCCTCCACCGCCTCCGCCTCCACCGACGACGAGCCGCCCCAGCCACCGCCCACCGACGACGGCAGCAGCGCCGGCGCGTTGTCGTTCTCGTCCACCACGAACACCTGCACCGTGGCGTTGCCGCTCAGCGGCGGATCCCCCGCGTCCACCGCACGCACCTCGAACTGCAGCACCTGCACCTCCTCGTAGTCCAGCGGCTGCAGCGCCCACACCCGACCGCTCTCCGCCTCCACCGACACGTAGCTCGACGCCGCGCGCCACCCCGACGACGCCGACGCGCCCCCGACGCCGCCCTCCCACAGCGAGTAGCTCACGCGACCGTTGCCCGCCTCGTCCGGGTCCCGCGCCCACACGCGCCCCAGCTCCGCGCCCGCCGCGTTGTTCTCCCGCGCCAGCACCGTGTACACGGCCTGCAGGAACGACGGCGCGTTGTCGTTCACGTCCGACACCGGCACGCGCACCCCGCGCCTGGCGCGCAGCGGCGGCGACCCGCCGTCCTCCGCGCGCACCTCCACCTCGTACTCCGACACCCGCTCCCGGTCCAGCGCCTCCCGCAGCACCAGCGAGTACGACCCCGCGAACCTCGACACCAGACCGAACGGCGACGCCGGCCACACCGCGCACCGCACCCGACCGTTCGCCCCCGAGTCGCCGTCCGACACGCTCAGCAGCGCCACCACCGTCCCCAACGACGCGTCCTCCGGCACCGGCACCGACAGCGACGTCACCCACACCTCCGGCGCGTTGTCGTTCACGTCCAGCACTTCCAACACCACCTTGCAGTGACCTGATAATGGAGGCATCCCCTTATCTTTTGCCTTTATTTGTATATCGTAGAAATTAATTGTCTCATAATCCAGGGCGCCCGTCAGTCTGATCTCCCCGCTGTTCGCATCGATGTGGAATACATCGGTGGCTGTGACAGGAATGTAACTATCAATTTCGTAAAGAACTTCTCCATATATTCCTAAGTCCGGATCCATTGCGTTCACGCGGGCCACAAGTGTTCCTTCTACACTGTCTTCAGGCACAACAACTCTATACACCGACTGGTTGAACTGGGG